AATGGTCACCAACTACTGGGCACTGCACTAAACATTTTACTCATATCACCTGTTTTCTTTCTTAAAACAACTCTGAGTTGAGTACTCAACTAAGGGTCATTCCAAACATGAGAAAAACTGAGGCTGAAGGTCTTTCCCTGGTTGGCTAGAGAAAGAACTAGGTCCTGAGCCCTGAGTTTCCCGGGATTAAGGGCCTTGTCTTTCCTCACTATACTGGAGTTTGTTTCCTTTCTAGGCACTTGACTAAGACAGACACAGACGTGTGGAGCATGTCCAGAGGGCAGATGGCCAGATGGAAGGGTATTCGGGAAAAGAGGTTATAGGGGGACAAAGGGAAGAAGCTGGGAGCCCTGAACACCGGAAGGTGGGACTTGGTGGGACGTGGGCTCCTTAAGGGAGGGACTAGACTTATGCCCTATGGTTCAAGGGGGCTTACTGAGGACTGTGGATTTTGGCTCTTGGGAAGGAAAAAGCTACTTAAGCCCTGATCTGTCTCAGAAAGTTGCAATCTTGCTGTCACAAGAGCAGATAAGAGCAGAGGAGAACAGAGGCCAGCTGTCTCTGACATCCCCTTCCATGACTCCAAGTGGGTGGAGAAGTCCACTGGGCATTCTCCCTTCTAGCTGGGCTGGGAGAGGTGGCCCGCCTCCAGCCACTTGGGATCCTGGACTCAAGTCATGCAAAGTGCCATGGCTGTAAGCACCTACAGGGAAGTCCAACAGTGCCAGGGTGACCATCTAAAATTCTAAGAGCAGTTCTCAGCCAGAGACCCAGGAATGGTCAGGAGAAAGGGCAGCCACATCCTGCCTGCCTTTGCAATGTACAGCTGTGTTGGTACCAGGCCTATTGGTGAGCAATGTCAAGGTCTTCAGATAAGTAAAAGGAGCCCTCACCTCCTGCTGAGCCATGCTTTGGAGGAAAAGCAGAGTCAGGGGACTGTAATTCTAGTCCAAAATCTGTGCTAATACAGTGCGAGACTTCAGAAGCCTTCTGAGCCACTGTTTCCCCTCTGGACAATGAGGGCATTAGATGGATCAGCATTTTCAGAAACATGTCCCTTGGGATGTTATAGGTATTCTGTGGAAAAAGCGTTCTTGAACCATAGCGGTTTGAGGAAAACTGGGGTTAACACAAAACAGGACATGTTTCTTTGCTACAGGAACTTTAACAAGTCAACGTGCATAATGACTCCCAAATAGGGACTAGAATGAAGTAGTTCCAAATTCTATTTCAGAAAAATAGTCTCAAAAAGCAGCACGCTAGGATGTACATGGGGAATCGTGAGTCTAGACAGTCTCAGTTCTGATGGTCCATGGCAAGATTCACCAGAGATTTTGCTGGAGCCACTTATAAAATCTGCAGGCCAGATCGGAGCCCAGCCCAGGGGCTCAGTACTTGCTATGGTCAGACCGGTTTCTTATTCTAAGATTGTCCATGCCAAGCAGGTGGTGACAGGGGAGGCTTTATGGGTATTGGTCATGTCATCATCGCTGGGGTCAAGATGATGCAAGGAGGACTGGGGCGTGTGGTTCAGTGGCAGACAGCTGGCATAACAGGTGTGAGGCCCTGGGTTCCATTCCTAGCACCACCAAAAAAAAAAAATGGTGACAGAAAAGTAGAGATGTCATGAGAGCAGCAGGACCAGGGGTGTCTGGCTGCAGTGACAGAATTGGGCCGTGCATCAGGTGGTGGCAACACTGGGATAACAGCTTGGGCTGACTCTCAGTGACAGTGGTGACCATAGTAGTAGTGATCTTGTCTGAGGCTGGGCCTGGTGATCAGCACAGCCTAGCATGATTAAAGGGGATGGTGACCATGACAATGACAAAGATGCTTTTAAAATATCATTCTCCAAGGGTTGCTGGATCGGCGGTTCCTTAGCTGTGGTCCGGGACAGGCTGAGGTGAGGATGGCAGTTCCCACATGCACATGAAACCCTCCCTTTCCCTAAGGCTGCCTCTCGGGCTGGGGGAGCACCAGTCTTCTAGAACCTCTCACTCCCAGGTGGGCTCCGGGAGTGAGGCTGTAGCAGCCAGTAGGCAGGCCTATCACCTGAGACCCCCTGCCCCATTCAGGCCAGCTGACAGGAGGTCCTGATAATGAGACTCCTCTGATCCCTCCAGAGAAGCTGCCCTTTCCATGCTCACAGAGCAGTTCCAGCTCTGTTTCCATGGAGACAGGAGTTCCAAGAGCAGGATGCTGACAGCTCGTCCCCCTCCTCCCCCAATCAGAGGGAAGCTTGTTCCTGCTCCAGGGCCAGGGGATGGGGTCCTTCAAAGCTGAGCCAATCAGGAGCCCACCTGCAGCCCCCTGCCTCACTGTGGGGTGAATCCCAGGAGGTTGGGACTGGTTGGGAGACAGAGGATAGGAACCAAAAAATGGGGCAGGGTCAGAAGCTACAAGAGTCACTTCACACTTCCACCTATGTGGGCACTCTCAATCTTGAACCCCCCACCCCCACCCCAAGGTCATGCAGAAATGCAAGCCTGCGTTGTCAGACCTCCGCCCTCTCTTTTAGGGATCAGCAAATGTAGGTCCCACTGCAGGGGCTGGGAGAGGCTGGACTGCCCAAGCCATGGCTGTCCTCCCTTCTTCAGGACAGAGATAGACAATAGGAATCTGAAGTCCAAGTTCATTGTTGTGTAGGGGAGGAAACCAAGTTTCAGGGAAGGGAAGTGATGAGCCCAAGGTCAAATATTTAAGTTAAAGGCAGAGCAAGAGTAGGACCCATGTCCTCTGACTCCCAGTCCAGTGCTCATCTCTGAAAGATGCTGGTGCTGATTCTAGCATTTTCTTATTCCCTGCTCTCTTCTGTTCAAGACCAAAAGGGACCCCGAGAGAAGGTGGCCCCAGAACTGCCCTATTGGTTCTAGGTTGCTTAGCCTCCTGCCAGGTAAGCAATAAGCCTCATCTCTCTGGGCCTCAGTTGTCTTTTCTGTAAAATGGGGATGATAAGACCTCATTTCAGGAATCATTGGATGATTGAATGAAATAAGGTTAGCTAAGCTCCCAGAAAGACTTCATGGCACATGGCTGTTTACATAATGTGTGGCCACAGGCAGAGAGGGGTAGGGGCTCTTGTGGAAAGGAGAGTGAAAAACAATGGGTATAGGTTCCAAATGACTCACAATAGGCCCCAAGAAGTCACTCAGGTTGGTCAATTAAAAAGACCCACCTACTGCTGAGGTTCTGAGTCTGGCCGCCCAGGGCAGAGCCCCTGAATGAGTGCAGTTGGGCAGTAGGTGTGGGGAGGAGACAAGCCCCCTGATGTCTCCTCCCATTCACTTCCCCTTATGCCCACAGTGCCCTGTGTCCCCACCTCACACAGGGGAAGGGAGGGCTTTAGTGTCTCTGTACCGGGGAAGGCCCAGCTTAGAGAATGGAGTAGTCCAAAGTCACAGGGCAAGTGGCAGCTGCAGTAATAGTAACCAGGGATTCCGACTCCTTGGCTAGGGCTGGAACTATTAACTCCAAAGCCCGAAAGCCTCCCCCAGTGCTTCCCCTCCCCACACCCATAAAACTTGGCTGGGAGGCCCATCCCCACCCAGAAAGGTGGGGAGGGGCTGAAGCCTGTGGCCTCGGTCCCCACCCCAGCTCCCACCCTCCACCTCCACTGCCCATCCTCTTGGGCCTCCGATTCCCGCTTCCTGCCTCTGTTTCCCTTCAGCCTGACAGAGGGACAGCCTGCGGTCTCACGGGGGAACGTAAAGCTGCCAGGAAGAGGCAGGGGGACAGGGAGGAGGCAGGTGGTGGCCCAAGGGCAGGAGCAGGCAGGAAAGAAGTGGGGCTGCTGGAGGCTGGCAGAGGCTGCTCCAGGGGAGTACCAAGACACGCGCCAGGTTGATCCCCCACCCCGAAACCAGTCCCGCTCCGGGCTGGCTCGGCTTCTAGGGTCCGCCACCCTGCAATCAGCGGAGGCGGGCGCGGGGCAGGGGAGAGGCGGACGTGTGGCCCCAGCTGCCCGCTCCCCGGCGCATCCCGGGGCTGCAGCCACCTGTTCGCGCGGCCCCGGCCCCGTGCGTCCCAGCCCCCTCCCTCCCCCGTGCCAGGGCCGACCCCGCCCCTCCCTAGGGTCCGGCTCGGCGGGGCCGGCGGAGCCCTGCGCGGCCAGGACCCCTCCCACCCCATCTTGCCTCCGCGGCCGCCAGGCGGGCGGGCCCGCAGCCCCGGCTCAGGTGCGCCCGGCCCTCGCGCCCTACCTTGCGGAGGTGAGCTCCCTGGAGCTTCTTCATTTCGGAGGGCGGATGCTGGGCTTGCGGGCTTGGCTTCTCAGGGTGCAGACAGCGGGCGAGGCAGCGAAATCGTCCACCTGTCCGCCGGCCGCTGCGCCTTTGCCCGGCGGCTCCCGCGCACCGGCTGGGGTGGGCACCGGCACGGGCGCAGGCGCTGCCGTCTGACGGCTGCGGGTGTGGGGCGCCCGGCCGGGCGCTGCGAACCACTTGCCTCTCTCTGCGCAGCGCCCGAAGCTGGCGAGACACCCAGATAGACCCGTTGACCGACCGACGGCGGCTGGGGGATGCGGGCGCCCCCGCACGCAGAGCTGTGAATTGGAGGGGCGCGCGCCAGTGGGGAGGGGGGGGTTTCCAGAGAAACCCTCGGCCTCAGCCACCACCGTCTCCTGTGTGACCTTGAGAGAGTGACCTGCCCTCTCTGGGCCTCCCTTTTCTTCCTTGAGCAAGGAAGGAGGCAGGTGATGCGCAGGCACACTTGACAGCCCAGTCTTGGGATCCAGCATCCCCCCTATCTGCTTTGGGAACTTACTTAAGTTCTCTGCGTTGCAACTGCTTCTGGAAAATGGGAACAAGAATCTCACTTCCCTTACAGAAGTGGAGGAATTCACAGACATGGGAACCAGCTAGCGCAGGGCCTGGCACATCGTAGGTGCTCAGTTAACATGTATTGGCTGACTGTGGGTTGTTGGCATCCACCATTAGCAGATATTTATCCAAATATCTAATCTGTCCATATTTATTGAGCATCTAAAATATGCCAGGTCCTGGCAGAGACATTTTCCCAGCCTGGAAAGGCAGGTGTTAGTCCTCCTATTTACAGATGAGGAAACTGAAAGAGAGAGTTAAGTCCCTACTCAAGGTTCCAGAGCTAGTGCATGACACCAGGGACAGAGCCAGGCTTCATGGACCTTCTAGGCCAGTGGTGGTCCTTAGTACTCCTTTCCTTGGGGTGAAAATGAAATGGGAACATTTGAGTGAGGAAGAGGGACAGGTAAATGCCATGATGTTGTCAGCACCAAGTTCTCCGCCACTCAAGGAATGACCTTGAGAAGGTAATGACTTTGCATAAATGACCTAAAAAGGTTATGAGTTTGTAAAATGAGCCAGCTGCCAGCCTGCTGGGGACTGACCTCTCAGGATGTTCAGGCAATCCTAGGAGCCTGTGGCTGGGGTGGGAAATTCCTAGCTAGAGAGATCACATGTGTCCATTTGCTGGGACTGAGCCTGGGTGTGCTAGGGGACGGCATATACATTACACACCATGACCCCACCGCTTTCAAAGTGTCCCTGTTCAGACACTGATCATGCACATGGTTGCAGCCATGGGGGTGGGCGTCTGGGGAGAGGTGAGGATAAGGTTCTGCCCTTAACCTGGGGCTTGAAAGGAGCTGGGCAGGGTTCAAGTCCTGGCAGGCTTGGGTGAAGGCTGCCTCTCCTCCCAGGCCTTGCTCAGCTGCTCTTGCCTTTGAGTATGGCCCACACAGGGCAGGCCAGGGTTCCCCAGACCCAGGAGAAAGGGTCCCCTCTACCCTCTGCCCCTTACCTGTATGAGGCCTAGGGGGCCATGAGTGTGAAGAGAAGGAACAGTTATTGGGCCCTACTGTGTGCGTTATGATGAACTTTTACATCAAGTATCCTTTTTTTGGTGGTGATGGGGTACTGGGGATTGATCCCAGGGTATTCTATAATTCAGCTACATTTCCAGCCAAGTTGTGAGGCTGGTCTTGAACTTGCTTTAGATCTCTGAGTCACCAGGACTATAGGCATGCCCCACCATACTCGGCACCAAAATCCAATTTATAATCCTTTCCAACAGCCTGAGAAGATAGGTTCATGCATCTCATTTTATACTTGAGGAAACTGACTCAAAGGAGGTAAATCATGTGCCCAAGGTCACAGAGAACACTGAATCTCTGTGCTTTGGAGATAAAGCCAGGAGGGCCACAGTCCATGCCTGGAGATAGGCCAAAGTCAGGTACCCCTGAATCCAAGGAGGCCCTGGCCCAGGGCTTGTCACTAAGTCTCTTACAGGAGAAGCAGCAGCCTTGCAGAGCCTGTCTCCCTCCCATTGGCAATGGGGTTCCCCAGGCCTTTTGCAAGGTTAGAGAACCTTACGAATGGGGAGTAGCCAGAGGCTGTTGACTTGGGAACCAAGGAAACTGACCTCTTTCTGACCCCTCTGAGCAGTACTGGGGGGAAGAGAGGTGAATGGGGCCCTGAAGTTAGCCTTCCTTGAACAAATACATCATGGGGTGACTATTGAGCTTTGGTGACAGTCGCTGGGGCTGTGGCATGCAAATGGTCAAATGGTCCATGCCTCTCAGAAGGGGAAACCAAGTCAGAGGGGGCAAGATTGGCAAAATCCCTCAGTAATGAAGAGACCTCCAGGCCACACCTCTCTGCCACCTTCCCCCCAACACCTAAAACATCTTAAAGATGTTATCTGTATCAATCACCCTCCCACTGAAGTCCCCGTTTTATGATCATACAAGTAGTCAGGAGTTAGTGACCAAATTACCATGTAAAATTTCCTTATTGGAACTGGAACACCTCTTAGCCCTGGGGTGTCTGCAGGGTCTGACGGGACCTGTTACAACATCCCGGTCTCTGGTGGAACTTGACTATTGCTGCCACAATATTCCCCTCCCCCATGCCAGAGTGGGCTGGGGTATCACTGCGCAAAATCACTACCTAGGAATGCACTCAGGAAATGCGCAGTGGCCCCTCCCCCCCCCCTTCTCTCAGTATTTCTCCTGGTCTCACATCCAACCTGAAGTGCAATGAAGATGTGAGCTGATTTAAGAAAAGTGTTAGATGAAAATGTACTTCCCTTTATTATATAGGGAGATATTTTTAAATGCATATAAATAAACATTTTTAATTCGCCTAAACGATCAGATTTTATCACTGTGAGCATGTGTTTTGCTACACCAGGAGTGGGGACTGTGAAGAACGAGGTTCCAGACTGCTGGTCCATCTGGTGTGGTGCAGAGAAAGTGGTTCCGGAGCAGCCCCCCACCATGGGGCTGCCCTCCCCAGCTGCCCGGGGCTAGGCCTGCGGGGCTCTCTGCTGCTGCTTTCCTCAGAGATCCTGAGTCTTCCTGGGCCCCTGTTCCTGCTGTCCCTGCCCATCACAGTCACACACGCACACTCGCACAGAGGGCTGCTGGAGAGCTCTTCACTCCCTTCCAACCCTCAGTCCCCCCTAGAGCTCAGCTGGGGCCTGCTCTGCTCAATGCTCCTGGCAGTCAATGAAGACAATGGCTCTTCCACAAGCAAAGGTTCCAACCTGGGGTTGGGGGTCTGTGAACCCCTCAAATTGTATGCCAAACACAGTATTGACATGCCCAATTCTGGCTTGTAAAAGGCTGTGACCAGGGGCTGCGGGCTCAGTGGTAGAGCGCTTGCCTAGCACGTGTGAGGCACTGAGTTCGAACCTCAGCACCACATTAAATAAATAAATAAAGGTATTAAAAAAAAAAAAAAAAAAAAAAGGCTGTGACCAGGCTGTGGGCCTTGCCAGGCCAGACCGAGACACGTATATTTTTGGATCCCAGGTCACCAGTACCAGCTTGGGGCTTGCCACCGAGAAGGGGACATAAAATCACCATGTACAATATCCTTATTGGAAAGCTGGAACATCTCTTAGCCCTGGGGTGTCTGCAGGGTCTGACGGGACCTGGGGGGAGGGGTGTCTTTCTCCTGAGCTGTTACAACACCCTGGACTCTGGTGGAAATCTTCAGGTGATAGGAAACTGACAGGTACAAGGCAGCCCAAGGCACTCTTTGGAAGTCGCCTTAGGTGGGAGTTTCCTTTTTCTTGGAACTCAAACGCCAATGGACAGGGGACACCAACCCAGCCTGTGGCCCACCCAGCCTCCTGAGCAACTTCCACAGCTCACCCCACCTGCCAGGCCTGGCCACTGGCCTCCTGCCAGGCAGAGGTCTTCTTGAGGCGGGGCTAGGCTTGTCCTGCCTCAGATCTTCACAGCCACCATCTGTCCTCGGTGCTGGGGGATGGGGATGGTTAGAACATCAGCCCACAGGCCTTTCACACTAGGAGGTGTCAGCCCCATCAGCAGGTGGCTAAAACACAAGCACTGCCCACAGGCAGGGGCCCGTGCTCCACCCAATCAAAGATCAGCGGCTTTCCCATTGGTCCCTGAGGAGGCTGAGGGCAGGGTGGCGGACTACCCTGCCTCAAGGAGCACGGCCGGGAAGGTCACTCTGGGACCCAGGCCATCTGACCACAAGACCTGCTGCTCTACGCTGCGTCCCTCACAGGGACTGCATGGTCCTCCAGTTCAGAGCGCCCATTCTCCAGAGCATGGGGAGTTCGGTAGGAGGCAGGGAGGAGTTAGCAGGGGCTTCCTGCGGAACACTGAATTAATGACATTCCAAGGGAACTTTGGGCTGGGGGTCTTGTTGGAGACATCAGTGTGGCTCTCCCAGAGTGGGGAAATCTGCAGGATTTTCCCAATTTACTTGACCAGAGTCACTTATTTCTGGAAGACAAACCCCCTAGTTTTACAAGGGGAAACAGAAGTCCAGAGAGGAGAAGCAGTTACCCCAGAGTCACACAGCGAATGGCATTTAAAGATCAGAAAGCTAAATTTCATCATTGCCAGCTACCTTTCCACCTGTCTCTCTCCCCTTCTTCTCGGGACCCTGGTCCTCTCCTCTGGTGCCATCTGGTTCCTATGCCTTAGGCATCTACTGTCACTGATGGCGCCATGGTTTCTCCTAGACCACCAGTAGGAGGAGAAAGAGAAGCACCTGCTGCTCTGCAGGGCCCGTGCCAGGATCAGGTCCACCTTGTGCATTGTCATCCTGGGCCCCAGGAGCAAAGGGCAATGGCAAGCAGGCTGTGCACACTTTTTATGGCCTAGCCACCTCCCAGAACAGTAAACAGAGGGGCAGGCAGCTGGCACCAGAGCTCTCTGGGGAGAGAGCCCACCTCTGGAAGGGACCTAAAGAACAATGGCTTCTCCCTGGAGTCAAAAAGACTTGGACTCTAAGTTCACATCCCTCAGGCCCACTTTTACTATTCTTCCCTTCTTGGCCTGACCTCCAGGTCTCAGTTCCAACCTTGCCTCCTCCAGGAAGCCCCCCAGGCCTTCCAGGATAAGCTAGGAGCTGACTCTGTTCCCTGGATGCTCTGAGTCCCGGGATGCCTGGAGCGTGGCTCTGATTGACTCTTATCCTTTTGTAATAGCGCCATCCCACTGGCTTCCCACTGGACCAGGAACGCCTGGGTGGCAAGGACTATTTGCTTCTGGGGCCCAACCACAGCACATGGGGTGCCCAATAAGTGTCATCGGTTGAAAGAAAAACCTGAACTGAAAGTGGCTTAAAAATTCAATAGACTGATAGACTGAGTCTGGCGATTCTGCTCACAGATGCACACAGACGTTCTACGTGATCTCATAGACTTATTCTAACAGTGTCCTGTTTTGATCTTTTAGGAGTATTTTAAAGGTGACCTTGTTGTAGGCCTGCAGAATGGGAAGGGAATATGCTATTGTTAGTGAAGGGTGAGAACGATTCCTTAATTGTTTTTTCTTTAATGCTATGTATAATGATTCTATACTTTTTTTTTTAAGGAGGAAAAAAATTTATTCTTGAAGCTGCATCCAAAAGATTCCAGTCTCTATATAACATCTGTCCAGCTGTGACCTTGGCTTGGTCCAGAGAAAGTCTCTGGCGGCTCCCTGGGGCCTGAATCCTGATGGACAGACAGCCTTGTGGAGTGGTAGGACTCTGCAGGGTGCACTCAGCCCCCTTCTCCCCTGCAGGGTCCCTCTATCTGCAGGCCTCCCTGAGAGTGCTGGTGAGTGGACAAGGAGGGCCACCAGGTCCAGGCCCAGGGGCTTTGTGTCCGCATCCCGGCTGGGGAGGACTCAGGGCACACTGCTGTGAGGCAGGCCGAGGTAAGGCTGAGCAGGAGAGGTGAGTGTTGGTGAACCACACAGCCTGCCTCTCACGTCCTGCTCTGCAAACCTGCCACCTTCTCTGGGTAAGAGACTCTTCTCCAGGTCAGTCTGGTCCCTACGGTGGCCTCCCACCTCACTCCTCACCTCACTCCTTAAGACCACGAGGAGGAGGCAGGGCTTTGTCTTGCTCTGTCCCCCAGCGCTCTGGGGCCTGAGATGTCTCGAGGAGCCTGAGACCTCCAGCACTGGGCCCCGACTCCCCTGAGGTCTAGAAAGCGGGGACTGGAGGGTGCTTAGCCAGCAGGCCACGAGCTCATGGCACACTCGGGCCAAGGATGCAGGGAGCGGGTGGGTGACTTGTCCACGGTGACCCAAAGATCAGCAGTGGGGCTGGGACTCGTAGGACCTCTTGGGCCCCACAGAAGCCCCATCCCTAGCACCTGAGTGCCCAGGCCCCAGGCCACAAGCCTGGCAGGGCTAGGGCAGAAACTCCTCCTTGACAGGCATCGGGGAGGAGGCAGCGAGGAGGCCAGCACTGCTGGGGCACAGGCCGCCCAGGGGCGGTCCTGCGGGGGCAGAGGTGCCGTCCAGGGCCGGTGGCAGCTGGGGCGGCGGCGGCGGCGGCGGCTGCTGCTGCTGCTGCTGCTGCTGCTTCTTGTTGACTTTGCGCTCCTTCGCCCTCCGGTTTTGGAACCAGATCTTCACCTGCAGGATCATAGAACAGGAGGCTACGGGCGATGCGTGGCAGAAGAGAGTGGCAGAGCGAGGAGAGAGGAAGACATAGGGCTGGCCCTTCTCTAGGTGGTGTCTGTGGCCTCTTTCCTGCTCCTCTCCCTGTAGAACTCGCTCCCCCAGGCCACCTTCCTCTTCCTCCTCCAAGGCCCCCTCCGGGAGCCCTCCTGTTCCCCATGGCTGCTCCCTCCTAGAGGGCCTAACAGCACTGGCCATGGCCTGCTCGAGGGCACAGCTATTCAGCCAGGTGCTCCCACTGAGGTGGCAGGAATGTCAGGTTTCCTTGGGGTACCTGCTGGCAGCAGCTCAGGGTCAGCTGTGCTGTGACCACGGCCTGGACCCTTGGCCTCTCTGCTCTCCCTCTGCTGAGCCCTGTAACCTGCTGCCAGGCTGAGGTGGGGGAACCCCTACACACCTGCCTTTCGGTGAGCCCCAGATTGGCGGCCAGCTCTGACTTCCGCCGGATGGTGATGTAGCGGCTGTAATGGAACTCCTTCTCCAGCTCCAGGCGCTGGTGGTCCGTGTAGACCACGCGGTACTTGTCCTTGGTCCGGGTCTTGCCTGAGAAGCAGGAGGACCAGGAGGGAAGGTCGGGGGGGGGGGCACCCACAAAAGGTGGGGCTGCTGTTTAAGCTGGGGCTTCTCTCAGGCCTCCTGACCCAGGGACCTGCTCTGACCACCAGCTCCGCCAGCTCTAGTCAGCATTTGCCAGCTGTGGCTGAGCAAAGGACATTCCAGGAGCTTGTAAAAGCACAGCTTCTGGGCGCCCCTATTTAATGTGAGAGCCTGGGGGGAACTGTGGCTGACAGCCCCCAAGTAGTTCCGATTCAGAGGTCCTCAGATTGTGAGTTTGAACATCACAGATCCGAAGGGGACACCTGGCAGGCAAGGGTAGACTGAGGCTAAGAAGATGTCAGCTGCTCCTTTCTCTTGTGCAAAAGAGGACAGGGGAGGCCCCGGTGGCTGGACGGGCAAGTGGAAGGATTCAGAAACTGAGGAGTAGCTGGGCCGGGGCTCCCCAGTCCCTGCTGAACGCTGACCCCACACTCAGGCAGGAAGGACGGGGCTTGCTGGACCTCAAGAGTCCCTGACCCTGGACAGCAAACCCTGAGCCGGGCTGCAGCAGGGTAGGGGCAGGCCCAGAGCAGCAGGGCTGCAGGTGGCTCCCCAGGTCATCATCACTGAGCTCCTGCCTGGAGCCCTGCCCTGGGGTAGGCAGGGGACAAAATAAAGGGAAGCTCAGGCTCTAAGGGAGCAGGACCCACAAAAAGAAAGTAAATGTAGAAAACACTTGAAATGTTAATTGATAAGTATTTGGAGAAAAAGAAAGCAGAGAGGGAGGACTAAGAATTTAGGGAGGAGGCCTGCGCCTGAGTCCCAGCCCCACAGGTGGCTGAGAAGGGAGCTTCGCTGGAGCCCAGGAGTCTGAGGCCAGCCTGCAGAGCAAAGCCAGATCCAGTCTCAAAAAAAAAAAAAAAGTTTTTATTAAATATACTGGCTCATGAAGGCCTTACTGAGCAGGGGAATCTGAGCAAAGAGCTAAAGAAGAGAAGGGAAAGAGGCAAGCAGACATCTGGCAGAGGGACCAGTAAGTGCAAAGGCCCTGGAGTGGGAGCACAGCTGCCACTTGACAGGTTTGAGGAACAGTGAGGAAGCTGGTGGGGTGGGATGGAGGAAGCAAGGGGAACAGGGGCAGGACACAAGGGGAGGGACTCTGGGTTTTACCGTGTCTGGGATGGGAGCCATTGCAGGGTTTTGAGCAGAGAGACATGAAGTCTGATGTAGGTTTTCACATTCCCCTGGCTGCTGCGTAGTAAGCAGACTGGGGAGAGGAAGCGGCCGTGCAATAACCCAGGAGGGAGGAGGTAGTGGCTTGCTTCTAGATGGGGCTCAGCCAGGGCAAGGAGCTGGACTGAGGAGCATCTGGGCTTCACGTCAGGGCTGTCTTTGGGGCTGGGACTGGAGGTCTGGGGAGGATATTAAGAGTCCTGCTTGGCCTGGGCTGGGGTGGGGCCTGGCAAAATACCAGTTCCTCTGTAAGCAGCTGACCATGTGGCTATAAATAGGAGGTGCACCCCAGCACGCACGTGTCCTCCAGGGCCTGGTGGGTCTCAGAGCCACCGCGGAGCCCTGCCCACCTCACCCAGGGCCCCACGGCAGCCAGCCTTCACCTCCCTGCTTGCAGCCCTGGCCCTGGCCGTCCCTCGGTGCCTCTGCACTGCCCACCCCCATCCTGGCTCTGCCCTCCACCAGGCCCACGCAGCTTGGCAGGACAGCCACCGGGCTCCTCGTGGGCCAACGGCTCTGTGGAGAGCGGGAGACAACAGATGTTCCTGGGCGGCTGTTCCCTGGGTTTTCTGCCAGAGCAGCAGAACCACACCGGACACTTCCGGATCCCCTGACCTCAGTCTGCTGCCCAACTGAGCACGGGACAGCCTCGGCCCTTGGCCAGGTCTGCCCTAGGAAAGGGCCAAGGGAGTGGCTGCTGAGGCTGTGGCTCCAGATGGGGCCTCTTCTTAGTTTAGAAAATTCAACACTGTTTCAAAACAATTCTGCCTAATGCCACCGCAACCAGGGCCCAGGAGGGCTCTGAAGCCTCTGCCCGCCTGCTGGGATTGCTCAGCTGGAGCCGGAAGGAGTCCTGGGAGTTTAGTCTCCTTTCGTTTTTTTACAGAGAAGAGACGAGTCCAGGATGGTCACATGGCAGCCAGAGGTCCAAATAAGAAGCCTGGCAAGTCTCTTTTTCATCCTCTCTGTGTCATCAGGGTCCCTGGAGGCCCCAGTGAGCGCAGACCTGCCCAAAACTGTGTCCCCTGCTCTAGCAGCTCTCTCTGTTTCCTCCAGTGCATATCTCTTCACCCCACCATATTTTGGGGCTGCTGAGCCTGCCACACATTGTCCTCTAAGCATTGGCAATAGGAGTGTAAACAGCAGACCACCCCCTCCAGGAAAGGAGGGGTCAGAGAAGTGGGGGGCGGGGCTGGGAGTCTGGCCTGTGCTGGGGTTGGACCACAGCAACTGGGCCCTTTAAAACACCCAGAAAGCAGGCTGTAGTGTTGCACACTGTAATCCCAGGGACTCCAGAGGCCGAGGCAGGAGGATGTTTGAGGTCAGTCTCAATAAGACCCTCAGTGACTTAAGGAAACCCTGTCTCAAAATAAAAAATAAAAAGGTCCAGGGATGTAGCTCAGTGGCAGAGTACCCCTGGGTTCAATCCTCCGTACAAACCAAACCAAACCAAACCAACCTAGAGGACTCCCAGCCACCCCCTGGAAGAGTATGGGCCTGGGCAGAGATGGGGCTCCTTGCCCACCAGGACCTGGGCCTAAGCAGTTACAGGCATCTTCTCCCTCTGCACCCAGCTCTCTCTCCTGTTCTTTCTGGTGGAAACAGGAAAATGCACAGGGCCATTTCACAGGCCAGGGAAGCAGGGGTCCACACAGGCTCTGGCTGAGGGTCATCCTGCCTGGTGCTGGTATGACCTCTGGCCCAGCTCTTCCCAAGATGGAGGGGAGGCTTGAGATGCTGGCTGCGTAGTTTCTCCTTGGTTCTGGCAAGGGTGCCAGTGAAGACCTGGTCCAAGGGCCTTGGCATCCGAGAATCCCATCTCTTACCCTGGGAGAGGGGCCAGCGGGCATAGGAACCCATTGGCCAGCCTCTATCTGGTCAAGCTGCTTGAAGCACATGGTTTTATTCCCAAGAAAAGGACTCTGCCAAAGAAAAATGTCAGATTCCTTATGTGGCCCAGAACCCAGGGACTCCCACATGTCGTCCAGGGAGGAAAAATAACTGGGTGCATCCGTGGAGAAGAGTCATCAAGACGAAATCACAAAACTGCAAAAGTGCAACATGGAGCAGTTTCTAAGATATGTGGAAAAGCAAGACACAGATTGGTGCAAAAAAAAAAATATGTCACTGTTTTGTACAAAAGCGGGGGATACACAACACACACTGTTCATGTCTCCATACAGTTCTTTCCAATGAACCTATGAGAAGCCCAGTAACAGGGGCTGCTCCTTTGGGGAGAGGAGCTGGAGGAGGAAAGCCATTGGTGGAGGCAGACTCTGGGTGTTTCAATGTTTACCATGTGAAGATGTGAACTGTACTTTCAATGACAGTCAGGAGACCTGGGCTTCGGTCTCAGCTCTAGATAGAACTAGGAACTGCACTTTGAATATGTCTCTCAACAATCCTTCCTGTCCCATCTTCTGAGCACCTGTGCTACCTCCAGAGCCCAGAGAGGAGGGGCCTGGGTGGTGCGTGAGAGCGACGGGGCAGGGAGAGGGCCCAGGATGAATGATTTACAGGAACCCGGGACTCTGGGGCTAAGGGGGAAGTCCAGGCTTCTCTAACAGGTGTCTGATGAGGGGCCAGCCCCTCCCAGCCACCTAACGAGTAACCCTTGGGACCGGATGCCTGTGTGGGTGGCGAGATGGCGGGGAGCCCCCAGCCCTTCAGGGGTAAGCAGGGGGTCGGGGTAGGAAGGACCTCGGATGGCTCTCTGCTCTGGTTTTGGAATGCAAAGAATGGCTCATCCTTTCTGGGTGCAGTGGCGCAGGCCTGTAATCCCAGCTGCTCGGGAGGCTGAGGCAGGAAGTTTGCGAGTTCAAAGCCAGCTTCGGCAACAGTGAGGTGCTAAGCAATGCAGCGAGACCCTGTCTCTAAATAAAATATAAAATAGGGCTGGGGATGTTGCTCAGTGATCGAGTGGACCCTAAATTCAATCTCTGGTACCAAAAAAACAAAAATAAAAACAAAAAACAAAAACCCCAAAATCTCATCCTATGGTCAGGCTACTGCCGGAGGCCGTGAGCACCCCACCTCCTATAGCAGGCAAAGGGCAGGACCAGCAGCCTCAGAACTCCCAGGGAGCTTTCTTGAAGCACAGATCCAGGCCCTGAAATTTGGAGTCAGCAAGGCTGGAATGGGCCTCTGGGCACTTAACCAGCTCTCCAGGTTCTAGTATGGGCTTGTTTGCACGAGCAGACCTCTGGTTGCATGAGGCATCTTCTCACTGGTAAGACAGCCTAGGACAGTCTCCTCACCTCTCTGAGACTCATTTTCTGTATCTGTAAAATTGGGATAATTATTATTCTAATAATAGCCATCATGTCCATGCACCAGGCACTTTGAATATGTCTCTCAACAACCTGTGGTGTTGTGTCACTGTGACATCTATTTACAGATGAGAAAGCTGAGGTTCAGAGAGGTCCACACGTCAAGGCAGGCGGGATTCAAAACCAGGTCTCAGAAATAGCCTCAGAAATAGCGCTCAACCTCTCACATGGTGGAAGGTCTCCCATAATGATCTCCAACTGAGGCGTAGAGGGGTGGTGCCTAGCACTGTGCCTGCCATGTAGCAGATGCACCAGGAGGGCCGAGCCTACCATTTCCAATATGGATGAGACAGCCATTTGGCAGGAATGTCAGGCACTGGATCTGTGCAAGGGATGGTGTGTTGGATGGGACTGCTTCTTTGTTAAGGTGCCTTCCAACTTGGAAACACAAAGCTCCCAGTGTTTGTTGATTCTCTGATTGTGTTTGTTATTATTGAATTCTGA